TTTTTTACTTTTTTAAAGAACCTCTGCTTTATTTCTTTCAACAGAAGATAATCGAAGAGTTGAAAACATTGATCGAGGAATGCAGAGCCAACAGTTGTATAGAGCATGCAACTGGAATTATTGAGGAGGTGAAGGCTCCAGAGAATCTGTCGAAGAAGATCTCCAACATATCATTGACTGGAGCAGAGAAGAAGGTACTTATAACACTCGTTGTCTGTATTTTCCAAAACTGAATGAACTTGAATTACTTAGTCCTGGATGCAATAATACTCACTGGACGATGAAAATCAAGAGACCGTCTTAAAGGACGATTAACCAAATGAATCGACCTAAGTAAGTTTTTGAGCATGTTTGATCGCTTTCCTGTTGTATAGATACACCTAATTCTTATTTCTTCCTTAGCCAAACCATGTTTTTGGGAGCACACGTTCTTATTTTAGTTTATAGCTTGCTTGGATGTTAACATCTATCAAATCCATCTTCAATATGTTACAGTCGGTCAAATACCTTCTTCAGAGCCTTGATAACTATGAGTCTGCAGTTGGCGATTCGAACATCAAGACTGCTCCATGCATTGAAGCCTTTCCTCCCGCGTTTCGGGCAATCCCTCGGAATCCCATTGTTCTGGACCTTGCTTTTAACTACATTGACTTCCCATCTCTTGAGAATAGAATGAAAAAGGACAGAAAGGGCTTTATCAGTAGGCTATGGGGATGAGTTTTCCTTTGCCAAGATTTTGTTTTCACTTACGGTCTCTTAAACAACTTCCCAGCCCTCATGCGCGAATTTTGGGTCACAATGAGAAAGGAATGACTGTTTGTTTCTTGGGTTTCTCTCAGATGAACAACAAAGATATAGGACCAATTTTCCAGGACTTTTTTTTTTGGAGGGCTGCGTGTGACTGTTGCAGAATACACATTATTTATCTTCTGATTTTGTCTATTAACTTTGAATTTATTGTGGATATTTTAGAAGTTTATTTGCAGATTGTCACAAAATAACTATTTAACACACCTTATGATGATTGTATTGATTTGGCCTATGTTGTTAAGCTACAATTAGAGACCTAGGTTTTACGAGATCCCACGTCAGTTGGAGACATGTTTTAAATTCGTGAGATTGATAACGATATGTAACAGGCTAAAACGGATAATATTTCCTAGTGATGGACTTGGATGGTTACAGGTTTGCTAATTAGCTTATTTGTGATGCAATTGAATTGATATCGATATTGAGGTGATATCTAAATATGATTATTTGTAACATTGTCATATATCAACAAGATATTGATATCGGTGTCTAGTTATTATTATTTTTTTCTTTTATCTATTTCTTTTTTCCATGTGGTTTAAGAGAAAGAGAATCAAGTTATTTTTTTCACCTGCATGACCACGATTGAGATGAATCATTTTTTTTTTATTTTTTATGTTTGGTTTAGTCTATTGCAAAAATATCATTTTGAATAATATTATCTTATTAAATTAAATAATTGTAGATCTTCTTCTGAGAATTGTATTTTTTATTTATTTTAAAGGTATTTATATCCAGATTTGAATTAAAGGAGTGAAATTTAACATCATTACTATTTTATTTTTTTGAATCCCACATTTTTTATAAAAAAAATCCTTTTAGATATTAATTTTTTTTCATGTATAAAAATTTTAGTGAGTAAATAATTAATTAGAAATAAAAAAAGGTCATTTTGGTAATCATACATATTTCATTCCAATTCAATAATAAGAAAAGAGATTATAAGATTTAGAACATTTAAATTATTTTCATAAAATGACAAACAAATCTTGGATGCTAAAGTGTAATGATTTTCTGAAGATCCTTTGCGTTTTTTTTATAAAAATATTTTTAATGACTTTTTGACTGCAAAAGAAAAAAAAAAAAAAAGATAGTTTATTATTAGGGTTTGACTTCAAACATCCCTATAATCATTTGGGAAAGAGATAATGGTTTAATTTTTTTTTTATTTTTTTTATTGAGATTGATAATTTTCTTAATGCTCGTTAAATGGATGAAAATTCTCTATTTATAATCCCGAGTAGAAATATAGTAAATTATAAATAATAGGAAAAGAATAATAAATAAATGCAATATATTTAACTTTAATAGAACAATAACTATGGTAAACCCTAACCTAAGATATTTGCATATTTTAACTAAATTTGATGGGTTAAATTATAACTAAATTTATTTATCAATGCTTTCCCATATTTTAATTTTAATTTTTTATTCTCATTTCTATCCTTTAATTTAAAACTTACCAAATACTCAATTATTAGTGGGGAAAAAGATTCAAAGTGACATTATTTGCAATCAAAAGGAGCATTATCTTTTGTTTTACTCTAATTTTGATTGATTTAATGTCATTCTCGAGCTTTTAACAAGGCCGGACTTTGAAGCAAGTGAAAAGACGTTTAGTTAAGAGCTGACTTGAGTAATATGTTAACCCGTTAATTATTAGCTATGTTGTAGGATTTGGACAAGTTCGTGTAAGCCAAATACAAAATTGTGTTGTTATAAACCTTCGAGGTAAGACATTTTCATGCTTAAATGTCTATTATTTTAAATGTTTTAAAATTATTACGCCTATACGCTACACTTCAAGGTAAATGGTGGATATCATATTTAGCACATTGGATATAAACGTTTATAATACTTTGTGTTCAGGATTTTAAATTCGAAATTCGAATTTAATAATTGATGGTCCCTGACATTTTCTGCAACAAAATCACTTTATTTGCTCGTGTTGAATTGTTTTCTTTTATTTTTTATTTTTAACTCCATATAGATTTTGATAATATTCCGGTGGGCTCATATACAACCCTCTGGGCCTGCCTTTCGATTAGTGCACACTCACAATGTTGGAGTTACGGAAGGAAAAGAGCTCGCATAATATCGTGACGTACATAGATATCATAATGTATGCATCTGTACTAACTATACTGAAAAAGTATATCGATGCACATGACATACAAAATTCATGAGATTCCTATAGTTTTAAATCATAGCATATACTTATGGCGCAAACCATACCTCTATTATTTTCATGACATATTGTTTGTATGAGACATACATCCATAATACTTGTCGTATCTTTCATAATTGACATACATGATAACATAGTTTACACCGTGTGACATATGGAGGTTCATACATCATACAATATTGATATCAAAACATAGTTCTATAACAAAGCATAATTACATCATAATATAACTTATGATATAGCATAATTCATATCATAGCATAACTTATACGATAACTTAGACATAACATATCACACGTCATATAATCACAAAACATCAAACGTGTAAGGATGCATCATTCATACACCATACAAGTCATCCAACCAAGCCAACAATAAAATCACCTACGTGACTGGCATAAGGCGAAATCACTAAATTTTTTGAGTTAATGTTTGTTTGGTCCTACCCGTCGAAGGCTAGTTCCAAAGCTAACTCCAAACGCAAGTCCTAATCCCTAATCACTAAGTACTAGTTGTCGGTCTTTATCCTTAGTTAAGGTCCTTGGTGATAAGGCAACCCTAATCCTCAGCCCAACGATCCAAACTTTTGTGTTAGCAAGAACCCTTGAATCAAAGTAATTAACACCTCCTTATACGAAATTTGGATCAACCAAGAGATAAGACTAGAATTAGATTACCTCTTACAATCGAAGATCTAGAAGCAAGATTTGGAACTTTGTTCTAAATTGAGTCCCTCCACAATCTAACTTGATCAAGGCTTGATTGAATGGGCTTGGGTGCAATTCTACCACAAGAATTGCTTGAAACTTAGAAATGACAAATATGATGCTCAGATTTCTAAGAGAAACGTCTCAATTTGAGATCTGAATTACATTCATTCACGAATCTGTTTTTTCACATAACATATTTTGGGTATTTATAGTCTCCGACAAAAGACATTTGTGGCCGGGATTCAATCCCGATCCCCTTTAATCTCCACAAAGAATAAGTCAAATTGACCATTTGACTTTTACATCATTTATGAAATTAAACCGTTTTTTCTAATAAATGTTAGAAGGAAATGAGTAGGAATAGGAAGCAAATGAATTGTATTAAATCCATAAACTACTTTCTTAAAAAATAAGTCAGCAGCATGCTTTGCATCATCCATAAATCTATCTACCACATGCTTCATCTCGGTCTGATTGTTGACCCCGAAATAAAGAACTAAAAAGACACATTTAGAAACAAGACCTAATAACTAATCCACAATTGGGACATTTTTTATGGGTTTAATTAGGATGACATTGTAGACTGAAAACAACAATGCTAGGAGAAATCCAAGTGGTTAGATTTACTATATTTTTTTGTGTCAAAATGCTATTGGCCACTCTCCAAAACCTTACCTTTCCTCATTATTATATGCTAATGCTGTCGACCATATAATTATAATAATGAAACATTTTGTTTTATTTTATAGTTTGCCTTTTTTTAAAAAAAAAAAAAAAATTATTTTAACACGTTTCTAATTCTCTCTTCTCGATTTGTCGTCACGGAAGAAAAGTTAGAAGCTTTGAATAAAGTTAAATTACAAATTTGACCCTTATACTTCTAAGAAAGTTAAAATTTAGTCTTTTTAAGTTTGTTGTAGTTTAGAGAGCTCACACTAGTTCGACTTATAGAAAAGATCATGAAAGAGGCAATTAGAATGGTACTCGAATCCATTTACGATCCCGAGTTTCTAGATACATCGCACTTGCACTTGGGGTGAGGCCGCTACTCGACTCTAAAATGGACCAATGATCATATTCTATAAGGTGATGGGATTATTGATTAAGCGGCTCAATGCCATGAATGAGAAGTTTGAGAGAATGGGGATGGGGCCGAACGGGGGGCCGAGTGGGGCGCCTCCAATTGCTTCAGTGGAACCAATTATCGCCGGAAGTGGAAGTTGCAATGTCAAGCAAAAGTAAACCCCAAAAGCCAAACCCAAAAATCCCCATCGCTCACCCACCCCCGACCCTTCTTCCTTTCACCAAAAACCTTCAAAACTTCTTCACAGCAACAACCCCCAATCATCAGTTGTCCCCTTTAATTCTACGAATACCTAACAATCCCACCTCATTCTTCCCTTGTAAGTTCTTCCCTCTCTCTGTTTTCGTGATTCCTTTGCTGGGTTTTCGAGATTTTGATGAAATCAAATGGGTTCTGTTTGTTTTCTTGAGTTTATCGAGTTTTAATTGGTTTGTCTGTGATGGGTTCGTTTGTAATCGATCTGTTGTTTTGTTGATTAGAGTGGGGGAGGAGGCCGTGATTTTCTGATGGATTCTTTTGATGAGATTTCTGTGTTTGGATACGATATGAACTCGAGCAACATAAACGATCCGGACTCTTCCGGTGTTCTTGAAATTTATGTTCATCATGCTAGAAACATTCATAATATATGTATATATGAAAATCAAGATGTTTATGCAAAGTTTTCTCTAACTTATAATCCAGACCAGACCTTGTCCACTAGAGTCATTCATGGCGGTGGGAAGAATCCCGATTTCAATGAAAATTTGAGTATGAACATTACTCATCTTGATTCTGTGCTCAAATGTGAGATTTGGATGCTTAGTAGAGCTAGAAACTATTTGGAAGATCAGCTTCTGGGGTTTGCTTTAGTCCCACTTTCACAAATTGTTGGTAAAGGGAAAATGACTGAGAATTATAGCCTCTCTTCTACTGATCTCTTCCATTCCCCGGCGGGAACGGTCCGTTTGAGTCTGTCTTTCGACAAATCGTTGCCTGTCGATGCCTTGAATTCGATATCAGATCTGCCAATAAGTTCATCAATATCTTCAGAAGTTGTGTTGTTAGACAGGAAAGTATCAGATTCAGATGAGTTTTCCAGGATTGAATTCCCTGATGTTAATGTGGTGATGGAGAATCAACAAATGGTGTCTGAATACTTTGATTTGGCTTTGAGGCCGGGAATTGCCACGTTTCTTCGTCTCGGTGCATCGCCTCCTGAACCACCATCATATGACTTAGAAATGACTGCTAATTCATCTGAAGAACACCAGGGGGGATCAGTTTCTCCAAATGACAGCAGCATTCAAAACTCCACAACTACGAGTTTGAGTGATGATCGAAACTCGATCGATTCAGTTGAAAAGAAAATCCGTTTCTCAGGCGAGTCCTCGAATTCTGTCAATGCCTCAATCACTACAACCGAAGCTAGAAATCAAATCACTTGTCCTTGCCCAGATACTCCAACTTCAAGGAAGAACATAGGAGCTGAAGACGATAAGGAATCAAAAATTTCCAACAATGAAGATAAGATTAGCATAAAAAAAGAAGGAAACATCCCTTTTGGTCAGCTGTTTTCAGCTCCATTAGGGAACATTAATCTTGATGCAGAGCAGTCTGCAATGCAGCAGCAAATTGTGGACATGTACATGAAGAGTATGCAACAGTTTACCGAGTCTTTGGCGAAGATGAAGCTTCCAATGGATCTCGACGCACCCGAGCATGAACACCGAGGCGTTGTGATTCAAACCCATGATACCAAACCAGAAATCACCCCAAATAAAAACGACGGATCTCGAGTTTTTTATGGTAGTAGGGCATTCTTCTGATAATTGCCTGGCTGGCTTCATAATCAAATGGTATTTATGACTAATCTTTGATACTATTTTTTGATCTTTTGAGCTTGCAACTCTTCTAAAACAGAGTTCTTGATATCTATATACTAAATCATCTGTTATAGTCGTGGCAACATGACATTCTTTGTCTTGTGATTAGAGCTCGTTTTTCATTCGCACAATGTATAGAGGATTTCATGGTGAATGTATCCAAGCAAGCTGTGCTAAATAACAGTAGTTTTTCTACTCATCTCACATGGTTGTCTCTTGATTCAACAACTGTTCTTGCAAACTTGACTGTAAATTCATCATATCACAAACGTGGGTTAGCCCGTGAACGTAAATATTTCAAAATTTTCAGGAACGTATTTTTAGATATGACATGAAAGTTAACGGACTAAACTTGTAACGATGCAATGATGGATGAGTTTTGGATAGTTTTTTGTGTTTGTGTGCTATGTTTCTTTGGTTTGTTAGTGGTTTCTTCATCCCCTCCCACTAGCCTCAGTGTCATTGAGTGGCCCGTAGCTGGTTTGACTCTGCCAATTCTTTGAATTTGATATGATTCACTTTGTTTTTAGGATTAGAATCAGTCCCATTTGTACTATGTTTCTGTTGATGTATGCAACACTTGCGTGCAGATATTGTTCTTTTTGGACTTTTTTTTTTTTAGCTTCTCAAAGTTTTAAAACACGTATGTTAGGGAGAGGTTTCCATACTGTTATAAAGAATGTTTCGTTTCTCTCTCTAACTGATGTGAGATTTTAAGATCTCCACCCCATTTGAGGCCATCGTCCTTGCTAGACTCGTTTCTTTCTCTAATCGATGTGGGATCTCATAATCTACCCCGAAAGCGTCCTTGCTAGTACATCGTCTGATGTTTGACTCTAATACCATTTATAACGGCCCAAGCCCACGGCTAATAAATATTGTGATTTTTTTTTATATAGAGGTGTGGAACCTCTCCCTAGCATAGAGATTTAAAATCTTTAGAGGAAAGTTTGAAAGGGAAACCTCAAAAAGGACAATATTTACTCGTGGGCATGGGCTCTTACAATCTATTACTATTCAAAACATTTTAGTTTGACTCACGATTTTAGTAAGTTAGAAAATTGTAACAACCCAAGCCCACCGACAATCGATATTGTCCTGTTACATATCGCTCTCAGCCTCACGATTTTAAAATGTGTCCATACCATGTTGGCTAGAAAGAAGTTTCCACAACACCCTTACAAGGAATGAGAGGAATGTTTTATTATCTCTTCAATCAAAGTAGGATCTCACATTAATTCTCCTGTGCTTCGTACTTTGTTTAAAAAAAATTCAAAATTGCCTTTTCCATTAAGATTTTTCATTCATATTACTAACGTTAAGATTTTATTAAAAAAATTTTTGACGTACTCTGAATTTAAATTTTAAAAGTTTTTAAATCGAAGTACCAAAACCTATGTCCAAAAACTAATCAATTTATATACATATATTTGTAAGTTAATACTAATAAATAATCGATATCTCCATTGGTATGATTTTTTTTATTTTGAAACTAAAAATAAAATTAGGAGACGATTAAAAATATTAAAAAATATTTATAAAAAGATTTAAAAAAAGATTTAAAAAAAAACCCTAGAAGTGGGTCCCACTAAATTTGTTTTTTTTTGTGATCCAAAATCCAAAAGGGAAAAGCAGACCTCCTTCTATATCTAAACAAATTTCCTCTGTTTCTAAAACCCCATAAACTCCAATTCCCAATTCTCCATTTTCCAACAATTCTCTGTTTCACCCCTTCTCCCATGGCGGACTACGGCGGAGCGATTTCTCTCTCCCAACAACCCCTCACCTCCGACTCCTCCTCCTCCTCCTCCTCCTCCTCCTCTTCCGATCACAGACCCCTCTCCGCCGCAAAACCCAAAAACCTCCTCTCCTCGTCGACGGAAACCGTCGGCAAAAAGCCACGTGGAAGGCCACCAGGATCAAAGAACAAACCAAAGCCTCCAATCGTTATAACCAAAGAGAATGAATCGGCCATGAAGCCAGTAGTAATCGAGATCTCAGCCGGAAACGACGTCGTGGAATCCCTCCTCCAGTTCGCCCGTATTCGACATGTCGGCTTCACCATCCTCAGCGGCTCCGGTTCTGTTTCCAACGTTACGCTACGACACCCAATGTCGCATTCCACTTCTCTATCCCTTCATGGTCCTTTCAGCCTCGTTTCTCTCTCCGGCTCTTTCCTCGGTAATACGACGCCGTTTTCCTCTCCTTCCTCTTCTTCCTTCGGGATCTGCCTCGCCGGCGCTCAAGGTCAGGTGAGAGCTTAACCCAACCACTAAATCAATTAATTAATTCATTAATTTAATTAATTTTATCAAATACCCATTTTCTTTTTTAAATTAATAAAACTCTTAACAAGGTATTCGGAGGCATTGTTGGCGGGAAAGTGACGGCGGCGAGTCTGGTGGTGGTGGTTGCTGCGACGTTTATAAACCCAGTGTTCCACCGGCTGCCAAGCGAAACAGAGGAGGAGGAGGAGGAGGAGGTCAAACCCAGTAACAACGGTGGTGATGGGTCTCCGGCTACCGCCGCCGCCGCAACGACAACTCCGATGGGTGGGTGCGTGTACAATGCTCCTCCATCTCCGGCGGATCTTGGGATGCCATGGGGGCAGAGCTCGCGATCATCTTACTGAAATTTGCATGAAATTAGAAAGTGATTTAATTGCTTTTGGGAAATAGAAATGATTTAATGTAAGAAAAAGTGGTGTGGAGGGTTTAGGGTTTTATCCACCGGTTATTAACTTATGAATACATGGACATATTCTTTTTCTTTCACTCTTTTGTTATTTTCATATCTTTATTATATTCAACTTTAAATATTTTGTTTAATATTTTTTTTATTAAATTATCATATTTTTAAAATATTTATCAATTTTGAAAAGTAATAAAAATATTAATTATTTTTATTATTATTATTTTTTATAAATTTAAAAGATATTTTAAAGATAATAATATTTAAAAAATTGATCTTTCATACACCTGTGTACTGACCCAATATGGAATGGTAAAAATCTATCTATGATGAAAGCATGTAAAAGAAGTTTGGAATGGGTATGCAACCATGGACAACACATTTTAGATAAGAAAGACCGAGATATCTGTCATGCGACCATTGACAACATGCCTTGGATATGTATGATTGTGACATCCTCCTCCACTCAATTAGTTGCCCGTGATATCTGTATATTAGGCGGGTATAAGCATGAATAATAAATTTTATAAAGAAGAATTAAAAAAAATATATATAATTTATGGGAATTTAAAATTTGTATTGGATAAGAAGTCAAATACTTAAAAATAAAATTAAATGGTATTGAATATTTGAGTTCAATTGTACTATGTTTGACTGTGAGTCAATGTGTTTGAATTATAAAGTGCAATGGAAAATTTTAATATATTAAAAAGATTATTTTTTTTAACAACTAAAATAAAGTTGGGAACTTGAAAAGACTACTCATAATTCATCTAAATCCATGTGTAAAAAGTGTTTTTTTTTTCCTTTTTAAAATTTAAAAATTTGACACCAAGTAAAAGATTGATACATGAATGAACAGACCTCCGGGAAAAGCATGAAAAAAAAGGCTCGAATGATACGATCTCGTAGTTCTTGGTCTGCGAAGATACGTTGTTAGGTGTTCCGTTTTATTTTCCCATTGAGGCCGAACCTAAACCTGTGCTCGAGAGATAGCTGTTCATATACTGATAAAGGATGTATGGATTCTTGAGAAGAGAGGAGTCGAGGTGGTCCCCCCCCCGGACCGTCCGGATCTCACGAGTGAATAGAAAGTTGGATCTACATTGGATTTCACCTGAATCGACCCATCTATCCTCCTGAGAAGAAGTTTGGTTCCAAACCCCTCGGTTCAAACAGGAGAAGTGTGTACCTATACCAACATTTGATGGGTCAAACAAAGGAACTCCAAAGTTAAGCGTGTTTTGCTTGGATCAATCATACATTTGATGACTTCTTAGGAAATTTTCTTTGAAAGCATGAGAGCGAACAATCTTTCGTTCGTTTATCTAATTACTAGGTACTCTAGCAACAAGTCTTTCAAATTACACCATATGAAAACGGTGGCTTAAAGGGAGAAGGAACAAACCTACTGTAACAGTCCAAGTCCACCATTCGTAGATGTTGTCCACTTTAGCCTGTTACATATCGACATCAGTCTCACAGTTTTTAAAACGCGTTTGTCAGGAAGAGATTTTTATACCCTTATGAGATATGTTTCGTTCCTCTCTCCAACCGATGTGAGGATTTCACATCTATAATTTTCTGAATCAATCCTAAGCTCGACTTCTTGAAACTAGAATTAGAAAAATATTTAATCCGAGAGTCGAACAAAGTAGGTAAAGTAACCTTAGAAGAAAGAGGTCATAAAAGAGGTGGGAGAAGGGTAGGTTTGGAAGAGTAAAAGAAGTATAAGATTTAGTGGTTAAATTGATGTTTGGAAGGAAGTGAGATGTCCCTATTTAGTGGACAAAACTAGAAAATGGGGAATTCAAGAACTCATACTTTCCATTCAACTACTCCCCCTTTTCTATTTACTCACCTTTCATTCATATTTATGTTGTCGGGCACGGGCACAGGTGTACCGAGATTGGGTTGGATTAAATTGGTTAGGTGGATGACTCGAATAACCCGAATAGAATTCACAGCTCAAACTAACTCTCAATGTTCAAGTTAGGTTGGGTTGTCGGGATAAAATAATTTTACTTATTTACCATACATGTTACGTTAATGACTAAAATTTCATAAAGTTCATACAATATTTACAAGTCAGAACGCATCACTAACCTTAGTTACAAACGCTAAATATTCTTAAACTTTTAAAAGTAGAATAGAGTTGAGTTGAATTGTAAGTATATTTTTCGAGTTTATAAGCTTATAAAAAGAACCATCATTTCACTGTGCAGAGAAGAGATCAGAGGGGACAATGATGGGTTTGTTTTATTTTTTGGGTTAAAAAACAAAGCTTCTTTTTAATGTTTGGAAATTATAATTTTTTTTTTATTGAAAGATAAATATAATAATTTCTTTTAAAATTACAAATTGATAAGTTTTTTTCAACACTCGATCGTGTTGAAACATTTCACTAATAGACACGTTTTAAAAATCAAAAGAAGACAATATCGATTCACGGTGGGTTTGTGCTGTTATAAATGATATTAAAGTCATACACTGGATGATGTGCCAACG